GGACTGGTCATCCAGCCAGTGTGTTACGACACAGAGGCCAACTTTCTACCCATCACAGTCCACCCATCCAACCCACATGCAGCCAGGTTTTTTTCTTATGAGGATGCTGTGAGAGATGAAGTCAAACGCTTTGCTGAAGTCCAGATAGACTACATCCACAGTCTTTCCCTCATCTACTAAGTGGGTCGCTTTGTCAAAGAAGGAGATTAGGTCAGTCACGCAGGACCGTCCTTTTGTAAAACCATATTGGCTGGGCCTGATCCCCCGATTGTCCTGCATGTGCCATATAACTGCACTCAGGATGATCTCTTCCATAACCTTGCCCAGAAGTGAGGTTAGGATCACTGCTCCAGGCCCTGCTCTTGCTAAAACAGTCCAGGATGTGGTTGGTCTCCTTTGCTGTGGGTGTGCTTACTGGCTTATGTTCAAAGATCCCCAGACCCTTTCCTGTAGAGCTCTATCCCAGGTAGCTGCACTCCCCAACCTGTATAATTGTTCCATCCCAGGCACAAGGCTCTGGAAATAAAGCAAAAAATTAATAATCATTGTGTTTGCAAACCACAAATCCTTTTCTGCGAGTCCCACCATACTGGGTGCTCCTTGCACCGCTCTAAGACTCTCTCATGAAGAAAGTGAGATGCAAAGAGGTTCTGCCAGCAGCAGTAACTTCCTATGGGTGATTGGTGTGAAACAGCTTTGGTGTTCTTCATATTTGAAATGTGGATAGGGATCCTTATGTGAACAAATGGCCTTGAAGCTAACTTTCAACATTCGATATGCTTAAGAGCAAGTGAGTTCATCTCAAGAACTGTTCTATGCCAGTAAGTCAAGCACTGTTGTGTTTGTCCCTCTGTCATGATGATATACAACTGGTCTTTATAGGTCAGCTTTACTGGCACTTCTTACTGTCCTCATTTTGACTGAGAGCTAACTCTAGTATTATTTTGCTTTTTAATTTTTGTGCTTGCTTTAGTATTGCTTCCTGAAGAACATGTAGGCATCTAATCGGTACAGCAAGTATCAGTCAAACATCTCTCCATTTGATATAGGGACTTCTGATATAAACACTGGACAAGCAAGGGCATTTTAAACCACCAAGCAACCATAAGAAGATAAAATAACATTTTATTTATGATTTCAATAAACTCAGTATTTCAAAATATTGAGTTATAGATGAAGTTATCCTGACTCCTAATGAGAATGCTTCTGGCAATTAGAAATGGATGCATGCTTTCCCCAATGCATTGCCACCATTTATGAGTCTCATTCTTGCTCTGATTATGATCAGAAGCAAAATTGTAATTGATTTAGTAGGAACAGCATTCTTTCTTAAATGTGTGGATTTTAAGTTTGCTTATTTTGTTTAAGGCAGTTTGCATTAGTGGTGGAAAGAACCACCCCTTACCAGTTGCTGGCAGATCATTGACTGCTACAGGCTCCAATGGCTGCACAGAAGGTGGGAGCTCTGACAGGCCATGACACCGATGCTCAGTTTTGTGTTGACCTGCTGAAAAGACAGGTAGGGAGAAGGGCCCAGTCCAACTATGCTGCTTGGGGGAGAAGCTGTTGTTGTTCTGCCATGCCCACTGGGTGGAACTTAGCATGGACTTCACCAGAGCAGCAGGAGCATATCTATTTAACTGCAACTTGCAATTATGGTTAGAGGTGCCATCCTGCATAAAAGTACTCCTGGCACTATACAGCAACTGTAGTCCTGCAACTGCTCTGACACTGCTCCCCAAATAGGCTGTGGTTTCCAAAAGTAATTAATTTCTCCTTTTTCACTTCACAAATTTCTTTCTCTGTTCTGCCTCAGACCGCATAATAGTGGATTGATTGAGTGAAATTAAAGATCGTCTGAACATTATGTTTTACCCAGAGCAGTCTGTATTTTCCAAGCTTCTGGAAGCTACAGCAACATATTTCCTCTTGGCAATGGATATAGCTTCAAGTGCCTCACAGGACTCTGTGCCTAGTAGCAACTTTGCAGAGAAGAGTACTTACTACTCAGGGCAGAGGAGAATTGCTTTGGGTCTAGTTAGGCAGACTGGACATATAATTGTCTGCAGAACTGGGCAGAGTACATGTGATGGTTGCTGAGGGCACTGCTCACAGGAGCCCTGGAAGTTCAACAATGACAAATGTAAAGTTCAGCACCTGTAATGGCCTAGTTCTCTGCAAGACCATGGACTGGGGGCCACCCGGCTAGAGATCAGCTTTGCCAGAAAAGAGCTGGGGTTTCAACTGGACAAGTTGAACACAATTCAGTCATGTGCCCTTGCAGCAGTGATGACTAACTGCTTATGGGCCTGCATTGGCATCAGATTGAGGGAAACTTTTATTCTCCTCTGTCTGATGTTCTTGTAGTCATATCTGCAGTAGTATATCCAGTTTTGGGGCCCCAATGTAAGAAAGAGAGATTGACCAACTGAAGCCAGCCCAGTGAAGGAGCAGGGAGCTGGAGTACTTGACGTATGAGAAGACTAGATTGATAGGGGTAAGTTTAGCCCCAGGAATAAACAAGGCTTAGGGGAGATCTGATGGCTCTTTTCTATTATGCAATGTTAAGACACAGAGAAAGCAGGGAAGAGGCAACATCACCAGATTGCAGCAAAAGACATTTTATTCATGTAGAAGGGGAAAAAAATCCACCATAAGAGTTGTTAAGCATGGGAACAAGGACCCAGAGGAGTTATGGAGTCCCTGTTCTTGGAGATTTTCAGAATTTGACCAGACAAGGTCCTGAGTGACCTTGTCTGACCAGGAAGGCAGTTATCAAAGGCAGAGAACAATAGTCACAGTGTAGTATTCCGTTGAATTTCTGAATTTTTATTAGTACTTCATTATTATCAGGAGATGAAATATCCACATTCTGAGTTACTTTGGTTGTGGCAGCAGTACTGTCAGTTAATAGTAAGCATTCCTTTTACATGCTCAGATACACTGTAACAAAATATGCTGGAGCTACAAATGGATCTAAACAGCTTGCATAAAACTGGGCAGCGCAGGATCATTTCAGTCTCTCGTGCTCCTGTTAGACTTCTCAGCTCTTTTTAGATAAATGTAAAATGTATGAACAGTAAAGACTTCATGGTTGTGTGACTGTAGGACAATGAGTTGAATGACAGCTTGTTGAAATCATGTAGGTGCACAAGATTTTCTTGTACTCATCATCACAGTATTTTCCTCTTGTAGAGCTTTGCTGGTGCCTGTGAAGTGGTCATGCCTTACCAGAATAGACAAAGAAGGATTTGGACTCATTTGTCCTTCAGTAGATTGTCTCTTCATAATTGACAGCATTGAGTCCCCTGTTCAAAGTCTCTTTAAGTGCACAGAGGCAACCACATTCATTTCAAATGCTTCTCATCAGGAGACAGGAGCCAAAGGCTGGTCTCCACCTCAGCTAGACAACTAACAGTTTCTACCTGTCGATGATTTGTCTGAACATAAGTGAGTTCCCCTGTGGGATTAATGAGGAATTTCTTTAAATTTTTGAGTTTTAGGCAGTAACTGTAGTAATGGGATACCAGAACTGGTCTCTTCAGAAGGGCTCATCTGATGATAGGGGGCAAGATATGATCACTTTGTTCTGGTGACTAAACTGAAGCACAAATTAGAAACTATGGGCAAGCCCTAGGAAGATTATTTGGATCTGTGTCATATATGTTTACCCCATTGTTATGCTTTTCCTTAGGTATTATTTCTTCTGGATATGACCAGAAATAGGATATTGTACTATGGGCATGTCTGAGTTTCTGCTTATTGTAAACTATGCAGCAGCTGTGAAGAATCTGTTGCCTGCTCCAGATGATCTTTAGAGATCAAACAGAAACAGCACAGACATTTGAAGACAGATGCCCAAAGAGCCAAATTGTAGCTTAGGACCATTGCCAAACCATTGTTCGGCAACACTGCAAAGCTACCTTGGCTTTCTATACATAAGCTAGGAAATTAAATATTCTGGTTTCCAGGGGCTTTGTCATTCAGCTATACTGGAGTATGCACTACGTGTGACACTGCCTGGGGAAAAAAAAAAGACCTACTGAGCTAGCATGAAGAAGAATATCAGTTTCTCTTAAAAAAAATAAAAATTAAACATTCATTTTATGAATAAAACAAACAATTTCTATCCTGCTATTTACAAAGCCATTTGTTCTTGAACTATAACCTATTTAGAAGCTGAAGTCTTTTCAGCACTATGGCAAATGGAGAAAAGGAGTGCATTTAGAGGCAAATATACACTGCTCAGGAGATGGGCTGTCCATCCACTGCAACTGCCTGAAGGGATATTCAAAGACTGGAAGTATCCTGTGACAAGGTGCATTAACGGGAGGAAAACTAGTATCCTAGTGAAGCATCTGCTTAACAGCTTCTGTTTCTTCTAGGGCTCTCCCAAACTTTCCGTTTCAGACCCAAAAGGACTACTTTTACCCTAAGCTGATTTTATATATATTACATATATTTATCTACTAAAAGATAAAAGAACATTTGCATTGAGAATATCAGAAACTCTGAGGTCTTGCACATGTTGTCAGGACAGTCAATCCTGAGAGCTCCATAAAGAAAGACCAATGAGTTTAGCACTGAAAAGCATTAAAAGCTATGAAAACACATGTGTACATTGCTGTCTACAGTCCAAGTATTTTTAGTCAGGCAAGAAAGAGATATGCGGCAACATTTATGTTAAAACCTGATGTTCTAGCTCCCAAAAGAAAAAGCAATTTTTTTTTGTTTAAGAAGAGAATATAAATGAGAGAAAATCCATCTCACTGTACAAAAACTCATAAAGTTGAGACTTTCAGGCCAATGGAGTATTTTCTCAGCATTCTCAGCTCTCCATCCCACTGTGAATACATTTGTTATTTTCCATACAGAGCATGTTTGCAAAGAATAAACTCGTGGGTTTTTCTCAGGGAAGTGCCTCTGAGAATTAGAGGTTATCCATTGCCTGCAAAATCTGGAAGTTCATCCAGGATTAGTCCTAATAGTTAGGTCTTGCTTCAGTAGAAGGATGCACCTTCATACTGGAATCTGCCTGCAGAGCAGATCCTGGGGCTGGAGACTTGACCGTTGCTGCAGGGTACACAATGACTGCATATATGTGCCAAATGCCTCTTGAACTTGACTCCGATAAATATATAGAGCACAGGGTTGAGGCAGCAGTGGGAGAAAGCAATTATACGGCTGATATAAAAGGCAAGGTGGGAGTCTTTTTGATACTGACAGGTAGGTGATGGAAAAGTAATTAGAAAGCTGAGGATGTTGTAAGGTGCCCAGCACAGGAAAAAAGCCACCACAATAATGAGGATGAGTTTCACAGTTCTGTGCTTTCTGCGAGATCTTGCTCTGAGCAGGATTATGAGTATCTTGAAGTAACAGAATACAATGACTCCAAAGGAAAGCAGGAAGAGTACATTTCTCAGATAAATGTCCACTTTTTTCCATTTCCAGTCAGTATCGCATTTCCAGCCCTCTTCCAATCCTTCTTCAACTGTGGTGTGAATCACCTCTGGAACCACAATTAATATGCTAACAGTCCAAACAATCAAGCTCACCAGAAAACCATAGCACTGTGTCTGGGATCTCAAATTTGAAAGGGGGTTCACTACAAACAAGTACCGCAGGATAGTCATGAGAGTCAAAAAGAAAACTCCACTATAGTAGCCAGTGGAGAAAATGGCATTCACCGCTTTGCAGAGGAACTCACCAAAAATCCATCCGAAGGACTGGTCCACTACCCAGAAAGGCAGCATACAGGAGAAGACTAAATCAGAGACACAGAGATTCATGATGAAGATGTTGGTTAAAGATGTAAGGTTTTCATATTTGAATAGGATCCATAACACTAAAGTATTTCCTAGCAGGCTGAGCAAAAACACCAGAGGGTAGAGGACAGTAGTGAGATGGGTGTAAAGTATGAAATAATCACCCATTTCACAGATGTTGCTTTCAATGGAGTATTCATATGAGTAATTATCAGTTGAATCAGCTGGATAAAGCTCTTCATCCATTTGTCTGTGCAAATCTTGTGCTGGTCTCCAGCAGCTACTTCAAAGGACTGCAGCGATCAAATGAAAACTTTTGCGAAAATCAACCCAATAACTTAACTCCCACTGTGGAGGCTTCTATTTTCAGAGACAAAAAGAAGCAGTGAAACTAATTTGTCCTGGGTTTGGAAGAGAAAGAAGTAATTTCTTCTTATGACTAGTGCATGAACAGGTAAATATGAAAGATTTACCCTCAAAGCAACATCAAGATCTCAAATATTAAGAAGGCAGACTAAGATGTTTCTGAACCAATGTTTGGTGACAACTGCTAATTATTAAGCTTCTATGTGAAGGATGGGAGTGCATTTTTTTAAATGCAAATATCTCAAGTACCAAGATTTTCAAATGTGCTACTGGTTTTTTCAGTTTTCTGGAATGGTATCATACTCTTCAGCACTTCACCATATATATGATTCTTTGTCACCAAGCTTCAGCACTGCAGCTAAAAATGGGTAGAGAAAAATTAGTAATGGTTCCAACTAATGGTTCAAAGTCTAAATTCATTTTATCCCAGATGAAGGTTTACCTGCAACACCGTAGTTGGATCCTGATTTGACTAAAGCCGTTGAGAGACCTGCCACTGATTTCCTTGGAAGTACAGTTGGAAGAAAGAAGCTTCACAGCTCAGGCCAAAATTGTGCTAGTGACATTTTCCTTTTTGGATTAGTGAAGGCAGAATCTGTCTGCTACATCCAGGAAAAGACATGCTGCCTTTGGAGGATGGGAGAGCTATGTCCACACCAGGCAAGCATGTCGGGAAGCACTGCTGGCTGCCAGAATTTAATGCCATCCATGGGGGTAGGTGATTCAGGTCAGCCAGAATGTGGCACAGGCAGCACAGGTCAGGGACCATCTCTCCAATGGGATGTGGTCATCCAGTTTTGGAGGCAAGGGATATGTGGTATTCAGTACTGTGGCAGCAAGTGAGCCTGGAACATATACTACCAGAGCCACAGTTCTAACTGTAAAGGTGCTTGTGGCCCTCAGTCTGTACCATGCTGCAATCTTCAGGCATGCAAAGTGATTGCTGAGGCAGTCATCTTCTCTGGTTTTACTTGATAGTACAGATGACATTTAAGCAATAGAAAGGTTATATTGAGGTCCTGACCAACATCATGCCCTGTATGACTTCTCCTTAGCAGCAGCCCTAAGGGGGAAGAAAAGCTTCTTTGCAAATACTCAAGGTTCTCCATGGATGAATGACAGTACCAACCAGTGTCTTGACCACTTACACTCTCCTCCCATACTGGCCACTCAGTGACAGCAAGCCCCAGAGCAGGACTGCCCACCAGCCAGGAGCTACACAGCCAACAGGTCTGATGCTGGGCTGCTCCTCACCTCTGCCACAATTGCTGCTGGCTGAAGTGTGCCACAGCATCCACAACCACATTCAGCCCCTCAGTTTCCAAGTGCCCACCAAGTCCTTGTACTCATCAAGTGACATCCTCTCCACAGCTCAGTCTTGGAGAGGTGATAATGCCTCTGCTTATCTCAGCTGTTGATCTTCCTCCCTCACCCATTGTGCCTTTCCCAGGACAGTGGCCTGGTGCAGGCTCTATGGAACTACAAATGAAGGTTCCAGCCTACAAACCATCAGACTTCCTGGATATTTGATCAGGACTATGTGCTTTGATACTATGTTTATACCAGCTGGGAAGCCCTCCATCAGGTCAGTGATGGTAAGAAGAACCTTGCAGGAACCTAAGGCATTTGAATCTTTTCCTTCTCACCTCAAAACTCCCGTGATCCAAACCTGTATTTTTTCTCTGTTGTATTTCATCTCCCCATATGTAAGAAATGGTGTGTATGGATTTTCAGCTAAGACATATGCAAAGGAGATAAAAAAAGATGTGATTGAATCAACAGGTTAAGAACATGTTAGAGTCATGCAGGAAATACAAATCATGCAACTGTTTCCAGTATATACATAATGGTACAAGTGAGAGCAGAAGTTGGCTGAAAGATGGAAATTACCTTCATTTCTGTTGTCAGGACAAATAGGAACAGAGGCAAAACACATTCTACAGTTTAAAGTCATTCCTGCCCTTCTGAAGAGCACTCAACAAGGCATTCAATATTCATTTCACTGTTGTCCAGAAAAACTTCTTTTCCAGAAGCCTTCATTTTCTAGCAGAGCTATGCTTTGCTTTGGAGCATCATCGTAAAAAAGGGATTCTAATACAGAAATGAAGAAGTGCTAATATTAGTGGCCTCCAGTTCATTTTACTTTTTCTTTGAAAATTCCTTCTTCTTTCCTTCTTTGAAAATTCAGACTTCTGTCTGGTACATATTGTTCACCAGTTTGTTTCATTTGCAAACTCAGCATATGAAAGAGTGGCTGGGATGAGTTGTCTGCCCCTTTGCAGTCAGTGGAGGGAGAGTGAGAGGCACCTGCAGGAACCACATTCCCCTCACTGTATGCTATATCAGCCTCCCCGCCCCCCCCCAGGTAGAGGCAGCTGAGACAGTTGCCTTTAAGAAGATTCCTGGCATTTACACAGACAAACTGAGGTTAATCTTATCTTAACTGGAAAGAACCAAGGGAATACAGTAGAGAAAAGCTCCCTACCGTAAGGCATGCACTGATGGCTGCTACCTTGAAAGTATTTTTGACTTATTTTATTCAAACTCCTGCTAGAACCTCTGGGCTTCACAGCTTCTTTTCCAGGTTTCTCAGGGGAAGAAGAAAAAGGAAAATTAAGAAAAGCTATCTGGCTTTGCAGGCTAGTTTGCACTTTAGCTACACAGACAACAAAGGTTGACTCAGAAAGCAAATTTCTGTTCCCCTAAACTGGAGTTTATCTGGTAGCTGCTTCCTTAGTCAATGCCTCGTTCCAGTTTGAGATTGGAATAAAATATCCCAACTCTAACTTTTTTTCGGCAGGAGGGTGTTGTAGTTTTCCAAACAGGTTTAGGGAGCAGCCATTTTATTTAAAGGAAGTTAAAACACATTAAATAATATACCCTAATTATGTCTGGTATCTGTCTCAGAGCACAGCCTTGTAGTGTCATGTAGGAGACAGACAGCAAAGTCCTGGAAGTCATGACTGGGATGCAGACTTGGCCCAAAGCACAGATGTACTCTGGAGAGTGTGGTCTGTGCTGGTGGATGAAGCTACTTTTTGTCTGCCTTAAAGGAGTTTTGCACATAGTAACAAACCCTTTCAGGACACGGATAAAGCAAAAAGTCTGTAAGACTTCCCTTGCCCAATTTAGTTTTGCAAATCTCAAGAAACCTGGTTCCTCAAGGAAGCTCTTACCCTATTTTAAGAGCAAAACTGTTCCTGAGTTGGGGTCATTTTGTGAGGCCAATGCTTCCACTCCTGCCCATGGATTTCAGAAGGCAAATACAACACTCACAGTCATGCCAGCTTCTTGGTGGTCTCCTGTTCCCCCTTGAGCTCTGCCCCTCAGTCCTGACCAGTAGGCCTGTGATAACCACAGTCTAGGGAAGCAGAAACATCCCAAATTAAGAGCCTGTACCCCATCCTGAAACATATGTATGAGTTCAAGTTTACATATTAAGTACCACTACAGCCAAGGCAGGATCACCTTGTGCTATCTATGTAGACACACAAAACTAATGCCTGTGGGACTTGCCATGCAAAGAATGATACTGTTTAGAAGTGCTGCCACAGCACTGCTGAAACAGCAGCCCTCCTCCTCATCCAGCATCACCATGGGGGTAAAATTAGCAGCCAAGTCTGCTTTTACAATGAGGAAGAAGTTACCATGTTGTCTCCTCTCCCTCCTAGCTTGTCCTTTCCGAGGGGCTGCAAATGCACCCTCTGGGCCCTTTATCACAGTTTTGCTGTAATTTCCTTTGTTTCAGAGATTTTCTGGGGAAAAAACCCACCCTGACATTTATACACTGCTGCTGCCTTTACTTCAATCCCAAAATCTGAACAGAAGAACAGCAGGGAAAAATTATGTCACTGTGGGTTACCTGCTACATAGAGAATGTGCTGGCATTTGTAGGGTCCCTCTGGGGTACTACAGCAGCCCCTGTCCTGCCACCCTGTTGGGGTGCTGGGTGAAGGCATATGGTCTGCAGGTCCATGGTGTGTGATGGTGATTCCAGGACCCCATGTCTATTTGATCAGCAGGTTTTATTGGTGCTAAGGCTGGTCAGAAAGGATGTGGTGATGACAGCTGGGCAGCAGCTGGGCAGCAGCTGTCCAACAGAGCTCTCAGTCGGGAGCAACCTTGGCCAAAGATGCTTGTGTGGAAGCAGAGGTGGTTGGTATCCAGCGTGTGGTTGCCCACAACATGATTTGAGCCAGCATGGTTGCAGCTCTTGGTATTCCCCATGCTTCCCAAGGGCAAGAGAAAGGAGCAATCCAGCCCCTTAATTTGGCTGGGTGGTACAAAGGAGGGCTTCACTCCCTCCTTGCAACCAGGCAGGGTTTGACCATGGTTTTCCTGGTAGTTCATGCAGGGATTGGATGAGTAAGCAACTCCCCATGAATTATAAGAAATAGCCCTTTTCGTAATAACTGGCTGTGAGCAAACAGAAAACTGGAGCTTTCTGGGATTTTCTGAGTGGAGAAACTGTCAGCTTGTTTCTACAGTGCAGACAAGTGAAACTTGAAGTGTATTTTTGCAAACAAAGAGTTTGCATCAGTCTCTGTGTCTGACATGTAATTCTGATTTGTCTTAATAGTAACACTCCTGCCAGGTGCATTTTTCTCAGGCCAGACAGCAGTGACATGACATATCACTTTCCCATCTGCTTCACAGAGAATATAAACGCTCCATTATTCAGCCGTGAAAAGAGCATCACTTTTTGGTTCTTAGTAGCTGGGTTTGTTGGCAGTCAAAACCAAGCAAATACACTTCTTATTTTTCTTGCTAAAGCAGAACAAATCTGCAGGTTTCTGCTGCCAACAAAACGTTGACACCACCCCCTCCACCCTGCCTTGTCTCTCTATGTGTAAATGTACATGTATCCTCCCGATGACATA